GATACAGGGCTGCCAGCTGGTTTAATTACCCAGATGGGAAGTTGGCAGGGGGAGCCCAGTCTTGGGCAGAGATTAATGACTCCATTATCTTCTTGGGCAATCATCCTGAGTGGGCCCCAGTCCAGAATGTAGATATAAGGTGTAAATAAAGTCCCTGTTTTCATTGTCTCCGGATGGGAATTTGCCCCCAGATACCCTTGGCTCAAATCCAGGAGGTGTCTTTGTTTAGCAGAACAACCTGGTCCATTTGGGGGCATGTGATAGGCCTCCTGAGAGCTGGGCTGAGGCCCGGCCGGGGGGCAAGAAATGGATTGCTTTTCCTCTTAAACTCTTAAGGAATATATGCTCATTGTAAACAATTTAAACTAAAAAGTTGCAGGAAAGGTAACAGGTGATAGTTCTTGCCCCCCTTCCCACTCCCTGAAGGTAAGTAACTAATATTAACTGTTTGGTGTGTATTCTTCCAGACTCGCGTCTTTTTGTTGTTGTTCTTTGTTTTTCTTTTGATTCAATTTTTTCCAACTTTATTGAGGTATAATTGAAGTACAATATATGGTACATATTTAAAGTGTATAATTTTATTAGTTTGTTTTTTTTAGTAGGGGAACAGCCATGGTCATTGGTTACACATTGCTTTCATGCTACAATGGCATAGTTGACTCTTTTTTAAGGAGGGCATAGCTCACGGTGGCCCATGTGGGGATCGAACCGGTAACCTTGGTGTTAGCAGCACCATGCTCTAACCAACTGAGCTAACTGGTCACCCCTGATTAGTTCTGACATATGTATATACCCACGAAACCTTCACCACAATTAAAATAGTGAACACGCCCATCACTCCCCAAATCCATCATCTATACTTCTGCCCTTCTGTAATTCTTTCCTCCCTCCACCACTGACCTACTTCTGTCACCATAAATTGGTTTCCATTTTCCGTAAGGTATATAAATGAAATTATACACTATGTACTCATTTGTCAGGTGGTGAGTGCTGTCTTCTTTGACTCAGCCTAATGATTTCGAGATCCATCAATATTGCAGGTATCAATAATTTGTACCTTTTTATTGCTGAGTAGTATCTTTTTTATGGATGTGCCACAATTTGTTTATCCATTCATCTATTGATGGACTTTTTAGGTTCTTTCCAGTTTTTGGTGATCATAAATAAAGCTTCTCTAAACATTTGTATCCAAGTCTCTGTGGGACAAATGACTCAGTTTCTCTTGGGTAAATCCCTAGGAGTGGACTGGCTGGGTCATGTCATAAGGTAGGTACATGCTTAACTTTTCAAGAAATGACCGAACTGTTTTCCAAAGTGGTTTACCATGTTTTGCTTTCCCCTAACAGCATAGGAGAGTTCCACGTGCTCCACATTCTCACCAACACATATGATCAGTCTTTCTAATTTTAGACATTCTCATGGATGTGTAATGGTATCTCACTGTGACTTTAACTTTTATTTTTATTAGTTTCAGGTGTACAAACAATGTAATAGGTATACATTTCACCTCTCACAAAACAATAACCCCCTCCCCCAATCTATTCCCCCTCTGACATCGTATATATCTATTACAATTCCATTGACTCTATTCCCTATGACTTTAACTTTTATTTTTCTAGTGACTAATGATATTAAGCACCCTTTTATGTGCAATTATTAGCTATTCACATATATTCTTTTGTGAAGTGTCTGGGAGCAAGGGCTGGAAGGTGGTTTTAGAGCTGCTAACGTGGGAGTTCCTGTGAGACATCCAAGTGGAGATGTGGAGTAGGCAGCTGGAGATTGGACTGTAGACTTTAGAGGAGAGATTCAGGCTGGAGATGGAAATTTGGGAGGTATCAGCTATTAGGTGTTTAGAGCCATGAGACTGAATGAGGTCACTAAGGGTAGTGGCCCAGGTCTGAGTTTGGAGGCACTTGATTAATTTGAAGCCAGAAGATAATTTGAGGGAGACTCAAGGAGACTGAGAAGGCATGGCTGGTGAGGTAGAAGAAGGTGGAGAAGAAAGTGTTGAAAGGCATGCAGCATTGTCGTCCTGGCTGGCCTCTAAAGATGGCCCATCAAGAGCCACACTCTGCTAGTCAAGCCTTTGAGTAGCCCCTTTCACTTTCACTTTGGGCTGGCCCCTGGTAGCCAATAGAATGTAGAAGTGACTGCCTGACTTCTGAGCCAGGTCCTAAGAAGCCCTGCAGCTTTTAACTTAGCTTTTGGAACACAGCTCCAGGATAAGCCATCAAAGAAGTTGGACTACTCTGAGACTGCCATATGTGAAGAAGTCCAAGCTAGCCACGTGGAAAGACTACATGAAGAGAAAAAGACGGCCAGCCAATCCCGATTGTTCCAGCCATCTCAGTTGTGGCAACAGACAGGTGAGTGAAGAAACCGCTTTGGATGTCCAGTCCAACGAAGCCTTGAGATGACTTCAGCCTCGGCTGCTTTCTGCCTGCAACTGTATGCGAGATCCCCACGCAAGAACCACCAGCTGAGCCCAGTCGGCCCACAGAACTATGAGGGACAATAATAAACTGTTGTTTAAACCTCTAAGATCTGGGGTGCTTTATTATGCAGCAATAGATAAGAGAGACAGACATGAACAGTGAAGGGAGACTGACTAGCCCCTTTGCCCCCACCCAGAGCACAGTGCACTGCAACCCAGACCCATGGAGAGAGAGGTGCCCAACCTCAGATGAACAGCTCTCTGCATTCTGATGGGTCCCTGTCTCCCTGCTAGGAGGAGAATAAGCTTCTCTTTGTACTCACAGTTGTAGCATCTGCCAAGAGCCCCACAGCCCCCAGGGCCCTGACAAAAGGACAGCAGGGAGATATTTTCTGGGAACTGGGTCACCAGTTGCTTGGAGGCTTCAAACCTGGAATAACAGAAAGAAACAAGATAAATGAGGCTGGAAACTATAGGAGGCTGCTGGGGCTGTCATGGGTACAGCTCAGGGACATGCCATGGTCAGGAGTGACTGCCCCCACTTGACCCTAAAATCAATAGAATCTCAATTTCTCTCTCTCTCTCTCTCTCTCTCTCTCTCTCTCTCTCTCTCACTGTGTTTCTGTCTTTCTTTCCTTTCTTCTTTCTTGGTAGTTAAAACATTGGTAAAATCAATTATCTATCTATCTCCTTTTTCTACCCTTCTTTCTTTATTTGTAAAAAACATTACTGGCTTTCCATTTATAGAAGTGATACCTTTTTTTTTAATAGATTTTATTTTTTTAGAGCAGTTTTGGATTCACAGTAATATTGAGGAGAAAGTGTGGAGAATTCCCATATACCTCCTGCCCGCTCCCCGCCCCCCACAACATCTCCCACCAGATGGGGACATTTGTTACAACTGATGAACCTACATTTTCACCCAAAGCCCATAGTTTACATTAAGGTTCACTCTTTTTTTTTTTTTTTTTTTTAGCTGAGCCATCCTGCTACCTATTGGCAGCTTAGCGGCTGCTCAGCTCGGGCTGGCCTCGAACCGCTGTTGCTCAGAGCTCAAACTCTTGAGCGAGCTCTTAACCAACTGAGCCACTTGGCCGGCCCCATTAAGGTTCACTCTTAGTGGTGTACATTCTGTGGGTTTGGACAATGTATAATGACATATTCTATCATTATAATATCACACAGATTATTTTCACTGCCTTAAAAATCCTCTGTGCTTTATCTTTTTAGTCCCTTCTTTCCCCTTAACCCCTGGCAATAGCTGATCTTTTTGCTGTCTCCATGGTTTTGCCTTTTCTTATACTTGGAATCATGCAGTATGTAGCCTTTTTAGATTGGCTTCTTTCGCTTAGTAATATGCATTTAAGATTCTTTCATGTGTTTTCATGGCTTAATAGCTCATTTCTTTTTAGTGCCAAATTACACTCCATTGTCTGGATGTACCACCATTTATCCATTCACTTACTGAGATACATCTTGGTTGCTTCCAAGTTTTGGCAGTTATGAATAAAGCTGCTATAAACACCGTGTGCGGATTTTTGTATGGACATAAGCTTTCAACTCATTTGGGTAAATATCAAGAAGCACAATTGTTGGATTCTATTGTAAGAGTATGTTTAGTTTTGTAAGAAACTGCCAAACTGTCTTCCAAAGTGGTTTGTCCCATTTTCATCCCCACCAGCGATGCACGAGGGTTCCTGTTGCTCTGCCTCCTTGTCAGCATTTGGTGTTATCAGCGTTCCAGGTTTTGGTCATTCTAATACACGTGTAATGGTATCTCATTGTTTTATTCCGCGTTTCCCTGATGACATATGACGTGGAGCATCTGTTACGCTTACTCCCCATCTTCCTTGGCGAGGTGTCTCTTTAGGTCTTTGGCTCATTCTTTAATTGGAGTCTTTGTTTTCTTGTTGAGTTTTAAGAGTTATTTGTATATTTTGGATAATAGTCAATGATCGGATGTGTCTTTTGCACATATTTTCTCCCAGTCTGTGGCTTGTCTGATTCTCTTGAGTGATACAGTTTTGTAGCACATAAATCATTTTAAATTTAAAAACGTGAGTCCATTTGAAGAGAAATATTCAGGAAATGACAGTCAAGGTGGTAGGAATACAGCAAAATAAGTAAATACATGAATGAATGAATGAATGAATGAATGAATATTTATATAAGATCGGGTTTGGCCAATACTTATGCCACACCTAGAGCCTGGTACACAGACTGGCTTCCAGGCTCCTTCCCTGGCAATTATTATGGCTGTTATTACTACTTTAATAGTATTGGCATCTATTGTTGGTATTATTGAAATTATAATTATGGTATAGTGACCATTACTGCTGTTATTGTTGTAACAATACCCTATTGTTTTCTATTATAATGTACCGCTTTGATGAACCTCTTTGTTGCCTCTATTTCTTTGGAACCTGGGGGTATTGGGGAGCCCTGCGGTTATTGCGGTTATTATTACCCTTATCTTGATATTTCACCAACACTAACTGTGCAAAGCTTGGATGGGAAGAATGGAGGTGGATATCAGTTTCGTGACAGGTAGGGGAGGGGTCCGATGGGGAGCCTCCGCCCCAACACGGGGCGTGCCGATAGGGTCTGTCCCCGTTGGCCTCCGGTCCAGAGCCTGAGCCCAGAGATGGCCCCGCGTGGAGCGGCGCGGATTCTGCCCCTGGTGTTTGCCTTAGCCGCAGTGGCTTTAGTGTCCTGGGCACGGGAGCCGCGGGGTGCGCTCTGGCCTGGGCAGGGCTGCGCGGCGCTGGGCCGCTGCTGCCCTGGTCGTGACCCGACCTGCGCCGCCCCGGGACCCCCGCGCTGCTTCTGCGATCAGGCGTGCGGCGCGGTGCGGGACTGCTGTGCTGACTACGCGCGGGCCTGCCCAGGTGAGCCCCCGGAGCACCAGGCGCGGGCGAAGCGCTTGGAGCACAGGGGAGCGAGGGTGTGGTGTGAGGTGGAGGAAGGAAGGATGCCGCCCATGGAGGGGGTTCTGGGCCTGGGGGTGCGCTGGCAAGGGGGGATGCGGGCGCGCAGGACTGGAGGGGACGAGTGGTGTGGAGGAACGCGCCCAGAAAGATGCGCAGGATATGGACAACGGCGCATGAGGATCGGGAGGCGGAATGGAGAGGGACGCTTGGAGAGTTGAGGGGTGTTTGGGAGAAGGGGGCACAAGGACTGTGCTTAAGACTTGGAGGGCTGGGCGAGGGTGGGGGTGAGGGATCATGGAAGAGGCGCGCCAACCCTGCGAGACGCAGGGCACCCAATGGAAATGGGCTCGTCGGGGCAGGGAGGGGTGCGAGAGAGGAGAGGGTGCTTGGGTTGGGGTAGGGTGCCAGATTTAGCAAATAAAAATACAGGATACCCAGTTAAACTGGAATTTCAGATAAACAACCAATAATTTTTTAGTATAAGTACGTCCTAAATATTGCACGGTTCATACTTACATGAAAAGTTATTATTTTTCCGAAATTCAAATCTAACTGGGAGTCCTTCATTTTATCTGGCAGCCCTAGCTGGGGGAAGGGCGTGGGATCCAGCTGGGGTGCGAGGGAAGAGTGGGCACACGCACTACATTGCGGGCACACGGAGAGGATGTCGAGAAGGTGGAGGGAACCGCTGAAGCCTGGAGAGGGCTTGGGGTGGAGGGACTCTGAGAGAGGAGGGAGGACCCAGATAGGGTGGTCCAGGAGATGCAGAGGAACTGGGGGTGGGGTGGGGCGAGGAGCAGGCTAAAACTTGGTCAGGCGGACGGCGGCGTAGGGGCCTGATTTGTGTGCAGGTAACGCCCCTCTGCGGTTCCCCTGCAGGCTGTGGCCACCGGACCAGGGTCTAAGCATTCCTTCTAAAGACCCCTGCCAGTGTGGTACCCACCGGGCTCTGACATCAGGGGCCGCTTTTGTGGAGTCACTAGTGGGGAGGACCTGTCCTTTGTAAATCCCAGGAGTAAGTTTTTCACACCCACTGGAGACAAAAATCTAAATTCTGTTCCATTGCAAAGTGGTTATGATCCAAGTTTCCTTTGTCAGGAGGGATAGTGATTGGACCTTTCTTCCCTGAGACATTAGTGGTCCTTCAGAGATTTACATTTAAAAGAGAGGGCAATTTTTAAAAACTCAGAATTGAAGGGACCCAACATTTATCCATCACTTACCAACTCTGTGCCCAGGAGCTGGGCTGGGTGTCTCATTAAATTTGATTACTTTCTTACAGCACTCTGGGGTTCCTGAATGTAATGTCCCAATTCAGCAGATGAGAAAAGTGGAACTTAGAGAGGAAAGGGCCTTGAGGCCAGCCAGGGTGAGCCAGCAGGTTTTGGACCTGGCCGGATCCACGTCTTCTAGTGCCTTGCTGCTTCCCACAGTTTGAGTAGCGAATGGTGGAAATGCAGGCAGCAGTGAGAGGAAAAAGTAACTTGGGGTGTGGTATCTTCTGAAAGCATAGCCAATCAGATTCCCTCAGAATAAACTTTCAGAAGGACTATCTTGGGAACGCTTTTGTAATCGTCTGATTTCCTTACAGAGAGCACATGCAGCCGCGGGGCCATTCAGAGCATGGGGCTGCACCCATAGAGGCTCCCTTGGGGCCCAAGGGTGGGGGGGGCCCAGAAAGGGGACCAGGCAGATAGATCAGCGATACTTTCCCACGGTCTGACCCTCATCCACAGAATCACACGATGTTATCAGCTCCACTGCATTTGCTGTTGTGTCAAGAGCTTGGGTTGGTGGGCATGGGAGCCTCAACGCTTTGTGGCCCTCTTTGTTTGGCTCCTTTGGGAAGGTGTCAAAAAGGCAGCAGGCGTGGGATCTGCCCCCTTCTCCGGGCTGGGTGGAGTGTTGTGAGCGGGACATGGCTATCAAAGCAGCAGTCTCACACACCTTTGTGTCTTTCCACAATGTCAGACTTTATTAGAATAAAGCTGTGGATCCAGTCTTACTCAGTTTACCACGGGTATTAACCAAGGTTCCAGTCAGAGGACGGCCTCCAATACTCCTCCATTTTTTTTTTTTTAAGCTGAGCCATCCTGCCACCTGTTGGCAGCTCAGCGGCTGCTCAGCTCCGGCCAGCAATCGAACCGCTGTTGCTCAGAGCTCAAACTCTTGAGCGAGCTCTTAACCAACTGAGCCACTCGGCCAGCCAAGCCTCTAATAGTCTAGGTAGAGAGGTTTCACACAAGAGGGTCACATAGATTTGTAAGCAATAGGGTTAAGCAAGGCAAACAGAGTCTTAAGTATGAGAGGGAGTCCGGTGTTCAGCGAGAGTCCCTAGGGCACTGGGGTGCATAGCATCGGGCAATCAGGCCTGGCCGGTGAGACTGTCAGGAGGCAGGGCTTCAAGTGCTTCATCTAGGACGAGCGCAGATGTGGCTGTCAGCTCGTCGGTAGTGGCCTGAGCGATGAGCCATCAGAGAACTCTGATTTTATGCTCAAGACTGGGTGCGGTGCCCCCATCTGCAGTCCAATAAAGCGTCCAGATGGTCACACTCCACCCTGTGTCTGGAGTTATCTGGTTAGGGCATTGACTGGGTACGCCTTTCACGTGATGCTCTGGCATGACTGTCACTTTGTGACTGACACAGCTATCAGAATTATTAGAGTCCATTTAATTTTCATAATTAATGCTCTCTACAGGGGAGCCAAGGTTTTATGAATAGACCAGGGACCAGTTCACTTTTTAACTGCCCCCTCACTTCACACACACACACACACACACACACACACACACACACACACACACCCGTGCAGCAGGGCAGGAGGGGACATGGAGACCAGTTAGGAGGCAAGAGATGGAGAGAAGTGTATGTTTTTTTCATGAGTGATTTAGGGAATAACATTGACTGACTTCAGTAATTGATTGTGGTAGAGAGAGATACTGAGGATGACTTTTAAAAATCCTAACATTTACTAAATACTTACCAAGTGCCAGGGAGGTAATGTTTTAAGTAAAATGCTTTAAATAAATTGTCTTCTTTAAGCCTCAGAACAAACATATGGTATAGATAGTGTTTTCAAGTCCATTTTATAGATGGACTGAGGCACAGAGAGGTAGTGACCTGATCTGAGTTGCACAGCTATTAAGTGGGAGATCTGGGATTTGAACCCCAGCAGTCTGTACCAGTGGAAGAGGAGCACTTGGCATTGCCCACATTCAGTTCAGTTACATTCTGGCCGCCTGCTGTGTACCCAGCTCAGCTAGAAGCCATGGGGGCTGGAAAGACGGGGCTCTGGTCCCCCTCAAGCTTATAGTCTATTTTGGGGGGACAGGGTAGCTTGTGAAAGGAACAGTTTCAGTCAGAGCAAGATGAGGATTGAAAATGGTCAGTGAGGATGGGTTGGAGGACAGTGGGGCAGGAGTGACCAGTGAGGCCTGAAAGGATGGACACCATCCCTTCACACTTTTCAAGTTCTTTAGTGAATGTTTCCATGTATTTTATTTATACTCTTTAATTCTCACTTTAGTCCTGTAAGGATCAATGTCTCCCGTTAGGCACTTACATATTCATCGTATAGAGTCAGTACTCTTAGGGTTTTGGCACAGCTCATATTAAACTAGCAAGGGAATTCATTGGCTCAGGTAACTGGGAAACAATCCTTGGATTCTGGGCTTCAAGTGGGGCTGGATTCAGAGACTCCAAGGATGTCATCAGGACTCTGTCTTTCTACCTTTCAGCTCTGCTTGTGTCATCTTCATTCTTAGGCACCCCGTCACCAAGTGGTGGCAAAGGTAGGACCCAAGAGCTTCAAACTGGTGTCCCTAGAGGAATGAGAGCGTCCATTTGCCATTTGTTCCAGCCCAAATCCGAGGGATGGTTTTCATAGGCCCCAGTTTGGGTGACGTGTTCGTCCGTGAGCCAGTCAATCACTGAGCCAGCCAATTGGCCATGCCTGGGCCACATGCCTCAGGCCAGAATGAGGGTGAGGTCAGATCTGTCCAAACAATGCCGCCTGAGAGTGGGGAGGGTCGCTTCCTCAAAAGAAAACTGAGGTGGTGTTCACCAGGAGACGGGGTAAGGAGGCCGGCAGGGTAGAAATGGCAGTTGCTTGCTACTGAGCTGTGGGAGACCATGCATTTCAGGGAACTCAAAGCAAAAGGGTGCTGAGACATTAAGGAGGAGGAGGAGGGAGGGCGTGACTGAGGGTGTGTTGCAGCACACTTAGATTTTTAACCACTAGCCTTGGGGGGGCTCTGTGATCCACCATCAAAAAAAAGATCTTTTGTGAACCACCTCACTAGTGTACGGAAACCACTAAAGGATTTCAGGTGGCAGGTCAGAACTGCATTCCAGAAAAGTCCCTTTGATAGTGAGGTGGATGGGCGGTCAGGGGGCTGGGGAATGAAGTTTAGAGAAGAAGGTGGGGTTTGGATCCTCCTGAAAGGCATTTCCTGATGAGCCTGGGCCTGTTGGCGTGGAGGCAGAGGGATCAAGGGGACTGTGGGAAATTTGGTCTGGCTCCAGCTGGCTCCACTGGCACGATGTTATCTGGCTCTCCGAGGCTGGATGAGCAACCTTAAAACCTCCTTCCTGACCCCTTTTTTAAGCTACACTGATAAGCTAGAATTTCTTCTTCACTCAGAAGGCGGGATGGCCTTTCTTATGAGAAACTCCGCCATCTGGTGGTACCTTTTTGCAATGTCAGCTTGTGCTCATATTTCCTTTGTTGTCACTAAGGCAAGATTGGCTCATTCAGTGTTCAAGGATTCGTTAGGTCCTATGGGCCAGGTACTGTAGTTGGTGCTGGGATTCAGCAGGGAACAAGGACCCTGCTTCCGTGGCTCTTACATTCTAGTGACGGAGGCTGACAAGATGTGAATAATCACGCGAATGTAGAGTCGCAACCCCTGGCCTAGGTGAAGTGTGATGACAGTTCTCTGGGGATGTCACACGTGCATGCTGCTTGGAGATTTCACAGATGTCAGACACATGGAAATGTTACCGGGAAATGACTTTGAAAGCTTGGCTCTTGTCTTCCTGAAGGAAAGACTTCAATCAAGAGACAGACATTTGTGCAGTACGAACAGCAGAAGTTTATTAGTAAAAGGGGGTAACTCTGAGACATGGAGGGGGCTGACCCAAGGGAGGGAAGCAGCCTCGCCTTACATGGCATGAAGGCTTTTATTTCTATGGGTAGAATTGCCTCCCCCTCTCCCCTCTCTTATGTCTCTCTCTTCCCCTGAGGTGCCTAGTCCTCTGGCATTTAGCAATGCATCTCTTTGATTTAGGGGCATGTGTAAACACACCCCTTTGGTTTTGGGGGAATGTATAAACACATCCCTTTGGGGTGTGTGAAAACTTGGAATCCTGTTGGCCTAGTGAGGTATTGGTGACAAATGGGATAGGTTCTCTGATAAGCAGGATGTCTTTCTCTCTTCTAGTGCATTTCTTTGATTTAGGGCCATGTGTAAACACACCCCCTAGGGATATGTGTAAGCCTGGAATCCTGCTGGGCTAGTAAGGTATTGATGGTTCTGATAAACAGGATGTGTCCCCCACCTCTCTGACTTATAACAACATATCTCTTTGATTTAGAGGTATGTGTAAGACTGGAGTTCTGTTGGGCAGCTGCCAAGGGTCTTGACCCAGGTAGGAGCTACAGCAAGGGGCTTTCTAACTGGGGCTAAATTTCTCCTTCTCCTGTTCATTTCTATCTATGTAGCTACCCTATCAGAAAGACTATGTGTAAGCTTGCATATGCCTAATTTTCTGCAAAATCTCTCACCTGTCTGACCAGCAGGGCAGGGCATCCTGATGGGACTTGGGTATTCCCCCCTCATGCCCAGCCAGCGCCTGAATATGGTCTACATTCTTTTTTTTTTTTTTTTTTAAGATTTTATTGTGGAATTGGGGGAAGGGGAACAGACAAGTTGCTGTCATTTTGTTCTTCAGTCTAGTTGTGGAGGATGTTGATTCACTGGCCCAAGTTGGCACCATCATTGCGCTCTTCCCGGGCGAGGCAGATCAGTTGCCGGCTTCTGGACGGCCACTCATGCTGGCTGCTGGCCACTCACACTGGCTGCCAGCTACACACGGTAGCCCATGGCAACCCACTGCAGCAGGGGACTGCAGCCCACGCCCTCGCCAGCGACCCATGGCAGCCCAGCTCCAGGTTGAGCTGTTGTTCAGCATCTTAGCTGTAGAGGGCAGTGTCACTGGCCCTCATATGTGGGATCCGAACCGGGGCCCTCTGGCATCCCAAGCCAGTTCTTAACCAACGTGCCACTCGGCCGGCCCTGGTCTACATTCTTCCTGCCAGGTTTTCCAGTCACTCTGGGAACACTTCCAGTGACACAAAACTCATTTCTTCTAGTAGCTCCCTCTAATGTAGATTATACTCTCTCCCCTGGACAATTGCAGCAGCCGTCTTGCTGGCCTCCTTGCTTCTGCCCTCACCCCCAGCAGCTAGAGAGAGAGACATCTTGTTAAAACCTTAAATAAGATAATGTTACTCCTTCGCTCAGAACCAGGCAACAGCTTTTCTTTATATGTGGAATAAAATCCAACCTCCTGACGATAATCATCAAAGCCCCGTATGCTGTCGCTGTCTGCTCCCTCTCTGACATCACCACTTTCCCTCCTGCTTGTTCTGCTCCAGTCACACTGGCCTCCTCACTGTCCCTCCAGCATCTAACCTGGACCCTGCCTCAGGGCCTTTGCACTGCCTGGAATACCCCCCCCCCCACGCCCCCAGATACCTACTCGGCTTCCTCCCTTACCTCCTGAGATTTTCTTTGTTGTGGAGGTCTTCTTGACCCCTTCAAATAGTTCTTAATCACCCCACCCCTGCTGTTCTTATTCTGCTTTGCTTTTTTCTCAGAGTATGATGTAGTTGGAATTACATCATGTTGTATTGTCTTTCTCCCGCGGAATGTCAGCTCCTCGAGGGCAGGGGCTTTTTCTGCTTTGCTCATCTATGTTCCCAACCCCTGACCCAGTGCTTGGCACGCGTAGGCCATAAATAGTTGTTGAATAAATGCATAAAGACCCCTGTCGTATTGAGCATTTCCAGTCTGCTCAGTGCTTTGCATTTATCATTGCACCAGTCCCGTGAGACTGCAGTTTGAATCCAGGTTTGCCTGACTCCAACACCTTGGCTCGGCTCAGATATTCTGCCCTCTGAAACCCCACTTGCCTCCTCTGTGAGATGATCTGACAATAGTACGTATACATATAGGAGTCAGGGTTCTGGCAAGTGACAGATGGTAAGCCCAGAAGAGTTGAATGGAAGAGAATTTGATGAGGGTTCTATTCACAATGGGGCACAGGAGGAAATGGTGTTGCTGGAGCCTGGTGAGAGCAGATCCATGGCTGATGGTCCTTTAACCCAGGGGCAAGGCTGAGGCAGCGAGTGGGGGGCAATAGGTACCTGAGCTGGCCTCTCATCCTTGCCTGGGCCCCCATGGGCTGAACTCAACTGGCAGCTTGGGGTCAGGGAACCTCTGCGGTGCATAGACTTCCGGGAAGGCACGCTCTCCTAAGATTGTTGTGAGGATTACGTGATGTCGGGCCTGTGACTTGCCTGACTCAGCACCAGTGACATAATTGTTGTCCTAATTGGGTGGACGATGAAAGCAATCATGATTGTTAGGTTGTCTTACTTGATTTCTTCCCTTCTTCCCTTCCTCCTTCCTTCCTCAGAGCGTTTCAGCTCTGCTAGGAGTGGGGATCTGTGCAAGGAGTTTGTGACTTCCTGAGGGGCCAGAAGCAACACTGTCTGTGTTCACAACACAGTAAACTCATGCCCTCCGTTCAAGGGAGTACACTTTCCCTCACGTTTTCATGTTGCTGAACCAGGACCTGTCTCATAGCTGATGAGTGATTTTCATGATGACAGCCTTGTCTTTCTAGGTCTTCACTGTGTCTCCTGCCTCACAGTAGTCGCTCAGGAAATATTTGAGTGAATGAATTTTGACAGTAGGAGCTGCCTTGTGTGTGTGCGCGCGCGCGCGCGAGTATGTGTGTGTGTGTGTGTGTGTGTGTGTGTGTGTGTGTGTGTGAGTGTCAAGTTTTGCTGGCACATCGATGGAAATTCTCTCTGGGGAAGTCTGTAGATTCCGTGTTTCAGCCAGACGGCCTTCCCTGTCTGGTTTGGCCCAGTCCTGGTCTGGGATTATGGACCTGAATGAAGCTGAAGGTGCCAGAGTCCATGTCATCAGAAAATACCTACTCGTTGGGCTTCCGATTGTGGGGGCACATGGGGCATCTCAAGGACTTGGGCCTCCAGCACCTTCCTTCTTTTATTATGATGAAATATTTCAGACATACTTCAATGTAGAGAGAGTAACATAAACTCTTCTGAAAACCCAAAATCAAGCCTTGACAGAAGGTCCTGAGGCTCCTGTGTTCCCCTCCCCAGTCCCCTTCCTTCCTTCTCGCCTCATAGGTAAACACTATGCAGAATTTGGTATTTATAAGTTCGCGCGTGCATGCGCACACATGTGTAAATATACAGGTCGGTTCTCGTGTTTCACAGCAGTAGTTATATTGCTGTGAACACTGAACTGACGAATACTGAACCATTGCTCCTAGGGGAAATATTTACACACATGATTTCACACAGGTTATACTCTTAAATCCTAAAAACAACTCATTCTGGTAGACTCTATTTCCTTTACTTTATAAAAGAGAAAAACGAGGTTGAGAGTGTTAGGTGACTGGGGCCGCCACAGGTGCCAGAGCTGCCCTTGGAGATGCTGTTTTCTCTTCCAGCCGTCTCCTGTGTGGTGGCAGAGTGGAGTGCCTGGAGTCGCTGTGTCAAGCCCTGTCAGATCTCCTACCGTGTTCGCCAGAGGCATGTCCTGCAGGAGCCAAGGAACGGGGGTGCCCTCTGTCCCCCTCTGGAAGAGCGAGCTGGCTGTGTGGAGTACCGCAGCCGCCAGGGAGTGGAGTGCCAGCAGTCCTTGAGTGAGTTGAGCTCTGCCACCAGGGACAGCTGTCAGATCCGGTGTGGGGTCTGAGTTTGGGGTGGGACTTCGCCTTCCTTTTGCCCCGATCCCCTCTCCTCACCCTGTGCATGAGGTCAGAAGCTCTGACTTCCCTTGGGCATCTCAACATCTTCTTTCTACTCATCTCCCAGTTTGAATCAGTCAGGACTTTGAATGCACATGGTGGGAAACCCAACTTAAACTGACCTGTGCAAAAATGTGTGGCGCATGTAACTAAAGTTCCAGTGGTGCATTCAGGCATAGCTGGATCCAGGGGCACAAGCAATGTTGCCAGGAATCTCTCATCTCTCAGCTCTGTTTTTCTCTGACTTGGCCTCATTCTCAGGCCGGCTCTTCCCTATAATAGTCTTGGATGGCTCCAGGTTTCCCTCCAACCAGCCTAGCAGCTGGAAGAAAAGGCCTCTTTCTCCATATTTTTAGCAAATGTCCTGGGATGTAGTCTCATTGTCTTGACCTGGGTCATGTATCCACTGTTAAACCGATCAGAGTGGCTACAGTGATGGAATAGTCTGATTGGCTGAGCCTGGGCATGTGCTCCCTTTGAAGCTGGGAGGTGGGGGTCAGTCCCATCTGAATGAGAGTAGGGGAGGGGTGTTCTTCAGAGAAAAACAGGAGAATGGATGTAGGGTAGGCAATACTACAGATGTTGGCTACATTGCACACCCTGACAAAAGGTTTTTATATCGCTACAAAAAACAGGTGATGCCCATTTTATAGCTGAAGAAATTGACCAAGAGAGCGAAAGTGGTTTTTCCTGAAGGGGTGGACTAGCAGGCAGCAGGGCTAAACTGTGCCCGTCCAGTTTCTCCCCATGCTTCAGCCTGGCAGGGAGGGGAGGTCGCTCTTGCTGTCACCATCCTGCTTTAAATTCCCCAGTCGCCACCCAGTGCCCTCAGGGTGAAGCCCAGACTCCTCATCATGGTCGATAAGCTCCACGTGCTCTGGCTTTTGCCTCCTGTGACCTCATCTCCTTCCTCCCTCTGCCCACATTTTAAAGGGTCATTGTGATGGTTGTGGGGACAGTGGGTCAGAGGGCAGCAGGAAGACCAAGGAAGAGGGGCGTGCAGTCAGGGGTGGGTGAGAAAGGATTGTGGCTGGACCGAGGCAGTGGCAATGGGGTGATGACAGTGGGAACGTCATTCCCTTTGCCTGAAATCCTGCCTCTCCTCTGCCACTCGCCTCTAACCTTGCCCGGCCAAGCATTTTCTGCCATTTTCTCGGGAAGATCTTCCTGACTGCCCCAACAATGTGCAAACACTTTGCCGCATTCCTTGACCCTGTGAGGCCAATGTTACTATCCTCATTTTATAGAAAGGGAAACCAAGGCTCAGGGAGGCACAAAACTTGCCCCAAATACATGGTTCGTCTTACTTAATTCTGACAATAACTCTATGATAGAGGTACTAGTATTATCCCCATTTTGCTGATGAGGAGACTGAGGCTCAGAGAGCTGCAATAACTTGACCAAGATCACTCAACTATAAGAGGCCGAGCTTGGACTAGAACCTGGGGTTCTCTGGGGCTCCCCTCATTGCTCTAGGCTGCACCAAAAGAAGCACTATGGATGCTGGAAGACGGGAGGGAAGGGAAATTGTGTATTAAGTGTTCTGGCAAAGACCAAGCACAATCTCTGTGGCAGTAGTAGGGAGAGGTGCCTGGGATGCCCCTGGTGTGGCCCTCGTCTAGGTCACAAGCATTAGTTCAACACCAAATCTTTGATTCAGTTTCATCGCTCAGGGAATGGGGAGGGGTAGGGACTTCTTTTGGCTTTTTTTATTTTTCTAAGGAATCACCAACCTTTTGCAGACCGACCCTCAATTCTCCTTTGTAGTGTTCTCTGTCTAAGAGGGAAGAGCTTGGAAGTTGGCCCAATAAAACAATTTTATTAATTCATTTACCCCTCCATTCCTCTGTACCTTTCTTCCCTCCTTACATCTTCTCACCCATGCATCCATCTACCCATCCATTTATCTATCCACCCACCTGTCACTTTCCATCCATTCTTCTTTCCATTTATCATCTGTCTCCTCTTTTTTCTATCCTCCCATGTTCCCATTTATCTGCTCACATCCATCTATTCTTCCTTTCTTCCATCATTCCATCCATGTATTCATCCATCTATCCATCTAGTTATTAACTCTCTTATCTACTTTTTTACTCATTTTACTCATCAAAATCATTCATTTGAGAAACTTCTATTGACCTACTATGCAACCCTGGGTCTCAGAGATAAATATGATTCTGCCTCCAGCCTTGCATAAAGGGTACAGGTGGGGATCTCCTACCCAGTTCCCAGATCCCATAGTCTCTTTAAGGCTGCCATATAAGTGACTCACAAGCCAGAAATACCTAATTATGCTTCCTTTTGTGTTATAGCCCCAGGGGGCAGTGCTGGGCTACCTAACTCTGCTTTCTCCTTGACCCACAGTCCCTGCCCTGATAACCACAGGCAGCTATGGGAAAGAGCGGAAAAAGCGAGGTGTCCCCAAGGAGCAGGAGTTAGTAGGGTAAGTTGAAGCAAATGAACCCAAAGTCAGACTAAAATTTGCAAACATTTTCCTTGGATTAAACTTTCATCATGTCTTTCCCTTACTTTGATAGCTTTAACATTTCTGAATTTCTTGTCCTGTTTCATTTGTAAGCTCATTAACATGGATTTTGAAGTCCTTAATAATTGGTCTCCACACAACTAACTTTCCTTCCTTCCTCTTTCCTTCCTTCCATTAAGTCAACATTTATGACAGGCAGTGTGCTAAGCCTGTCAAAGAACAAAAAGGACAGACATACTTGTCCTCGTGGAGTGGATAGTCTAGTTGGAAGGGACAGACAATAAACAAATAAATAGTATGTCAGATCATGTTAAGTACTATGGAGAAAAATAAACCAGGGAAGAGGTTGGGAGTGCCAGGGATATCCTCACTGAGAAGGTGACATTTGAACTAAGATCTGGAGGAGGCTTTCTGTGGAAACAGCATATCTGAAAAAGGGACCAGCAAGTGCAAAGGTCCTGAGGCAGGGCATGCCTGGTGTATTAAAGGATCAGCAAGAAGACCAGTGTGGTTGGAGAGCAGGGAGAGTGAGAGAGTAGGAAATAAGGTCAGAAATATATGGGGGGTGGGGGGTGGGGGTGGGGCCCTCAGGTCACACAGGCCTATAGGCTATGGTAGGAAGTTGGGCATTTTCTCACATGAGATGGGAATCATGGGAGGGTTTTGAGCAGAGGAGTGACATGATCTGACTTAGGTTTTCACAGGGCCTATCTGAATGCTATTTGTAGACTCGATCACAGAGCCGCAAGGAAGGAGTCAGGAGACCAATGGGGAGGCTACTGCAATGGTCAAGACCAAAGATAAGGTGGTTTGGACCGGGGTGATAGCCTTACACCTTTTGAAGTGTGAATTGCAGGGACTGGACCAGTGTGTTGGAGATGGTGGTGATGAGGTCAGGCTTCTAGGACAGTGCTTAGCACACGGCAGGTACTCAATAAATATCAATAGAAAGAATAAGGTCTGAACGAAGGCAGTGGCAAAGAAGATGGAGAGGAGAGCTACATTAGTTAGGATTCCTTTCATTGCAAGTGACAGAAACTCAGCTCAAGCTGACTCGTGAAAAGGAGAATTATTGGTTTACATAACTGGGAAGGAAGTTTCAAAGTAGTATTACTTTAGGCATGGCTGCAGCCAAGAGGTCAAATAAAGTCAGGACTCACTCTCCTATTCATTAATTCACTCATCCATTCATTTATTCATTCATTCTCTCTCACTCTCTGCATATATTGGGCTTCATTCTCAAGCAGCCATTCCCTCCAATATGGCCACCAGCAGCCCCACATCCTCCCAGCTTAGCAACACCAGCAGAAGGCGCCCTCCTCCTAGTCTCAGTGTGTCATTTCATGGAGGAGACTTTGATTGGTCCTACTTGGATCCCGGCCCATCCCTGAACCAATCACTGTGGCCAGAAGGATGAGCGCTCTGATTGGTCAACTTCAGTCATCTGCCCAAGCTAGTGGCAGGTATGGGGAGAGCCAAGACCAGCCACCCTGATTAATTACCCCTCCAAGGCCAAATAGGGTGAGGGCAAGAGTGCCCCAAATAAACCGCCCAAAGGGGACGAGAAAGTGTGTTGGGAAGACATAACTTCCATTTATCACAGGCTCTGGTAAGGGACAGATTCCCGAGGAGTTCTAGGGGGCCCATCAGAGAGGAAGGGGCTGGGGACAAGAAAACTCTGCTCCTTAGACCTTCCAGAGGCTGCAGCCACCAGGGGGCACTAGCACCACACAGAGTCCTTGACAAAGAGCTGCATCTCCTCCAGCAGGGGGGGCCATTTACTGCTACTTGTAGGAAAGTTGGGTAGAAGTCACATTTTGGCAAATTGGCTTTTTCAGATACCCCAGTATAGGGAGCTTCCCTTTTAAAAAATTCTTGTGAAGAATCTCTTCTATAAAACAGGATCTTTTGTAAAATGCAGTGGAGTGCTCAGGAGTGTCAATTTAGGCTTTTTGGGTTCAGGTGGTTCAGGTTTAGGCACTACCGCTTGTTAGCCATGTGACCCTAATTTAGGCCAGTTAACTCTTTGATCCTCAGTTTCCTAATCTGTAAACTGGGGCAACACCTGCTTCACAGGGTTTCCCTATTCCATTGGACCAATGATTCATTGAGCAAATTTTTATTGAGCCAGTACTATTCTAGGATTTGGATACAACCATGAACAGAACAAACACAAATTCCTGCGTTTGTGGGGCTGACATTCTAGGGGGGAGACAGATGAGAAATAAACAATATAGTCTTTTGGATATGGTGCTTGGAGGGCCTGGCACATAGAAGCACTTACTGAGGTTAACTTAAAAAGTAGCAGCCGAGTCTCTTGTATGCAACCTGTTGATGCAGAATGGGTTGCTTTGAAGGTTTCTATATCAGGGAGACATTGTACCACCCTGGGCCTAAATAGGACTAGGCACACAATAGGTGCTCCATAAATGCTCACAGGTGCTTGCGGGGCTGTCTCCCTGTGTGGCTGCAGGTATTGTGTCCAGTTCCGGCTGGGGCCCATTCCAGGGAGCTGTCGGCAGGTGAGGGCGCCACATGCCCAGTGGACGAGATATCTGACCCAGGGCCACATGGTCTGTGTGAGGTGTGAGTGGCCTGCCCAGGACACCAGGAGCCAACGCTGCTATGGCGACGGCGGTGGGGCCGGAGGGTGAGCAGTGGGACTGGGGCATGGGGAAATGTGACTGCAGAGCCTGGGGTTTCTCTGCTGCCTGAGAGGTGACAGTATTGCACGAGTGAGATGCTGCTCCCCAGTCAGTGTGGGAACCTGGAATGTCCTGGCCTCAGTGTCTGAAGAGGAGCAGCTCCCGTCACTTCCAGCTGTGTGACCCAGGGTAAATCTCATAACCTCTCTGGACTCTAATTTCTTCATCTGAAAATGCAGATAAGAGAGCTCCCCATGGGACAATGATGAAGGTTAAGCGAGATTGTACAAGTGGAGGACTTAGCGTAGCTCCTGGCATCCAGAAGGAGCTCAAGAAAAGAGAGTTGGCAATATTGTTGAATCCTCAAAATTCCCTCAAAAGCCAAGTTTGGGTACTTTCATTTTATAGATGGGGCACCTGAGGCTCAGAGAGGCAGTGTGCCTTGGTCAAGGTCACACAGCAGGATTTGGCCCAGATTTGCCTTATATCAGCCCCCTAGACTGCCTCCCACACAGGCAGGTGTCTCAGAAAGTACTTAACATACTAATTATAATAGCAGCTAACATTTATTGAGTGCTTACTATGCGCCAAGCATTATTCTAAGCTCTTTATGTTCATTCTTTCATTCTTTCACTCAATAAATATTTGTTGAGCACTTACTGTTGAGAATGTGCCAGGCAATGTTTTGTGCACTGGGGAGATGCAATGAACAAAGCAGGTGTGGTCCTTCTCTTACGGAGACAACATTCTGCTGTGAGAAGATGGGCAAGTAAATCTGTAATTTGTCAGGAAGGAGATCAGTGTTAGGAAAAGAAAGCAGGATGAGGGGGAAGTTCTGAGGGTTGTTATTTTTCAAGGAAGGTGACACGGAGGAGGTGACATTTGAACAGAGATCTGAAGGAAACGAGGGAGGGAGCCATGTGGATATCTGGGGGAAGGTGTCCCAGGCAGAGGGCACAGCAAGTGCAAAGGCCCTGAGGTGGGAGTGTGCTGCCACCATGGCCGGATGGAGTGAGCGAGGGAGCGCGTGGAAGGGGGTGAGGACACATTAACACACAGCATAACATGGAAACATTTCAAGAACCCAAAGTGGATACTTTTAGGGCCCTCACTTTGCAGATGAGGACACTGAGACACAAAGAGGTGCCCAAGTTCACACACCTAGCAAGTGACAGAAACGGGATTTGAACCTATGACGTTCAGATCCCTGAGCCAAGCTGTAAAGACTAGTCTAGACTGTCTTCACTGATAGTGCTTTTCTAGTGCAGGGACTATTATACTGTAGGAATGAGAGCACTCTCTGGGGTCTGTCCGGGGAGTTCTCCCATTTCCAACGGTGTTAATTTCCTGCTTTTTAAAATTGAGGAGCCCTGCTCACTGCAAACGTAGAGCCGGGAATGCCAGTGACAGACGGGGTGTTAGGACAGATGTACCTGACAAGAGGCATTGGGACTACACAGATCCAGGTTCAAACCCCACCTCTGGCCCTTACTAGCTGTGTGACTGTATGCTAGTCCTCCACCTGACTCACACAGCCCCTAACACCCATTTTGGGGGATGATCCTGTGCCCTTTGCATAGCACCTGGCTTCTTGTAGATGCTTAACAGTGGGAGCTGCTATCGTCATGTCTAACTTGTACAATGGATATAATCATACGTATTTTGTGAAAATGAGATGTAATAGATGCAATGAACTTGGTGCATCGTAGGTGCCCAATAAATAAATGACAGACAATATAATCACACTCTAGGAGGCCCTCTCTGTCCACCCCCCTCCAACCTCTCTCCCACTTACCTATCCTAGACCTTAGATTCTACCATTACAGATTTGTTCTTTGGGCTAGAGCCTTGGTTTAGCCATCCATCTTTGGAAAAGTTTTTCTAGTCCTAAAACTGATGAATCCCAGATTTCTCTTGATGGCTGCAAATACCCCAGGATGAGGGACATGGCACTTTGGTGAATCTGAGATGAGGGTTGCAGGAACCCCTGGCTCCACCAGGGAGGGGCAGGAATGGAAAGCAGGGCCAGGGCTGTGCCAAAGAGAGCCATCTCTCCCTGCTTGCACCCCATCCTGGCCAGGCTCACAACAGGTGATGGAAGGTCTGATTGGGGCATGAGCTCACCAGGCAGGACTGGGCAGAGGAGGAGGATCAAAGTGAGGATAGAGGCGAGCTGTCAGCTGCATTCTTTCTGTGGGCAGCTGGTGAGGGCGGGCATGCAAAGGGCATGGACCTGGGAGGGATTAGCTTGTCAGTTGGGGATTTTAGGAGGGTTTATTTAGCCTGAGAAGTGTCTCTGAGTTTGGGGCAAGCAGAGGGAACACCTGCCATCGTCGTGCACCTACTGTGTGCTGGGCACTAAGTAGGTGCTTTACATCATTCAGGCCTCCCAAGCCCTTTTGAGACAAGGGGCATTAACTCCATTTTATGTGATGAGGATGCCATTAATAATGGTAACTTCAAATGCTATAATTTGTGAAGCACCTATTATGTGCCAGGCACTGTGCTTAGAACAGTGCCGGGCACTTAATAGGTACTTAATTGATGGTTTTTATTATCGTTATTATTTTGCATTTTTAAAAAGATTTGAGTTATACCTACAGAAAATTGGCTAAAACATATATCGATAGGTTTGGAAACTGTTTGAAAAAGAGACACGCCTGGCCATCCCTTCAAACCTCCACACCTCTCCTAACCACAGCCCCATTCCTCCCCATAAAGGAAACCACTGCCCTGACTTTTATGGCAACCCATAGTACAGTTCTCTTAATAGCTTTACTCGGTGCCGATCCCTAAACACTATAGTTTAATTTTGCTTTTCCACCCAAACTTGACGTACACGAAAGGATGCACAGTGCGCCTTGTGGAATCCAGCATCGTTTGCTCCATATGCGGTTTGCAAGGTTCCTTCGCAAGGCTGCCTTGTAGCATGAGATCTTTTGTCTTTGTTGCTGGCATGCCTAGCTATTATTGTCATGATCATTTTTATTTTCCCCGCACATAGAGCCTCCCAGCACTTCAGAGAGGCGGAGATTACGGATAGCTCTGTTGTCCATTGAAGAGGCGGAGGCTCCTAGGAGCTGGGTCATGACCCCCTCCCTTGATTCCAGAGCCTGTGTTCTTAATCACGCCACTGTGTTGCCTCCCAACAGGAGGAAAAGGGGGTGCAGGAAGGTTAAGCAACTTGCTAAGTTTGCCATCTCACCAGACCCTAAGAGCTGAGTCTGGTTCGTTCTGTGTGGCCTCTGAGGTCGGCGCTCTGGGGCCAGGTCACGGCCATTCTCCATCAGGCACAGGAAACACAGGACTTAGTCCCCACCCACTTTTAGGGCCCATGAAAATTTACAGCTTTTAATTTCTTTTAAAATCGGAAGAAAAAAAGGATATAACAATCATGGGGCTCTAATAATGAACTCAGCCTGGATTATATTCAACTTTATACAACATACTCATAAATGATGATTTAAAATAATTTTTTGCATGGAGGAAGGGGCCCACACAGGCAAGTATCCGTGGAGCCCAGAAATTCATAATGTCGCTGAGCCAGCTCCATCTCTTGCAGGAACCAGCTGTTGCTGTGGCAAGCCGCCGGCCACCCCCGGTGCCGAGGGACCTGGGAGAGGCTTGGGCAGCTCCAGGACTGTTCTTGCCCCGAGGTCCACAGCCTCGTCTTCATCTAGCGCCATGGCCCTCTAACTTTCTAGACCCCTTCTTTCCAAAGCCTTCCGGGATGGCAGGGAACCCCCGCCACTCCAGGGCTTGGGATCTTACAGGACCATGGAGTGGGAAGAAGTCTGCAAATTTGAGACTAAAGCAACAAGCCTTATTATGTTGACACTGAAAATAGCTTTATGTTTCCACTCGGCGCCAGCTGAGTCATAGCCTTGCTAACATCTCCCTCCAGTTCAGGGCTTCCCAAATGTCATCTCCTCAACATACTCTGGTGGCTTTTGCCTTGTTCTTCTTACCTGTATGCTTACTTTTTTTCTTTTTTCTTTTTACTCTCCATTCCCCCACCCTTTTATTTTTGTTTTGTTTAAATAAATTTATTTTAAAAGGCAGCTTATACTTAAATACATGTGTTTAAAGAAGAAACGTTTTATCACAACTAGAAAGGAAAAGAAATAATAGTAGCAAACATTTATTAAGTACCCACAGTGTGCCAAGTGCTGTCCGGCCCTTTACACATATTGACTTATTGGATCCTGAGTTAGGTGCAATTATTATCCCTATTCTACATGTGAGGACATTGAGGCACAGAGAGGTTAAGCCACTTGCCCAAGGTCACACAGCGGGTGAGCGGCAGAGTTGGGTTTTGAAACCCATGAGCTACATCTACTGCTAAGATTCCCTACACTAGTAGTATATCAGCATCACCAGGGCAGGGTTTTGGGTCTGTCTTGTTCCCTACTTTGTCCCCTATGCCTAGACCAGTGCCTGACATGTAATAATGCTCAATAAATATTTGTTGATTAAATGAATGAAGAGATGAATAAGCAGTTGCCTTAATTAGAAAGCAATCAGAAAATTGAATACAATGGAAACCAAACGGGTTAGGTATTGTTACCTGACCAAGATGCTAAGCATGAAGCCTGCTCTCTCCTTGTTCAAACAAGAAATGAGCGTGTGTTTGAGAGACAGTAAGGACACACTGGTATTTAATGGAGGCTTGGTCCTTGACAAATTAGAAGAATTACATGAGACTTGAAAGGGGGCTAATTTTCTTCCCTTGGGAGTCAACTGTTAACATATTTTTAAGGGCTTTATTGAGATATAATTCACATAACATAACATCCACTCATTTAAAGGCTACCATTCAGTCCCTTTTACTATATTCATAGGATTGTATAACCGTTACTCAAGTCAAGTTTTAGAACAAGTTTTGCCCCTCCTAAAAAAAAATCTCACACCCCCTTAACAGTTCGTTGCTCCCCATTGGTCAGACCACTCCAGCCCTAAGCAACCACTAATCTACTTTCTGTTTCTATGGATTTGCCTATTCTGGACACTTCATATAAATGAAATCACACAAATGGACTTCTATGTCTGGTTTCTTTTACTTATTATAGCATAATGTCTTCAAGGTCCATCTGTCTTGTAGTCTATTATTTAATGTCCCATCCTGGCTTTGTGTAAAACCATCTCTGTGGAGTCCTCCACTTGGAGAAGCACCGCTGTAATGGATAGAGAGCTTTGGGAGCGGCGTGGCTCACTCCCACACCCTGCTAGGAGTGTGCCGGCCCAGTTTCCCTGCCTTTGGACTCGGGAGCGTGGAGTATGGAGTTGGGGGAGGGGGTGTCTCTTTGAGCTGTCCTTGGGACTGGACAGCAACTGGCCCAAATGTTGCTGCTACACTATCCTCCTTCCTAAAATCAGGACTCTGGGCGCTTGTGGGAATCAACGTTTGTTCCCTCTCTCTGAGAGTGAATGTGTCACTGGGCAAGCTTTTCAGCAGCACTGGTGTGTGCTGGTCTGAAGTGAGGTGCTGAGGCAGTGGAGGGGAGAGAGGTGCAGACTGGCCAGGAGGCCAGCGAGAGGGCTGCCCAACTCCCATCCAAGGCCAGGTTCCCTAGAAAACAGCTCTCCTTGCACTTGTTTTGGCTGTAGGAGGCCATTTTATGTGTAAGCCATTTTATGTGTGCAAGTGCTGTCTTCCCTAGCAGATTGTACTTGCCTGAATTGCCCAGGCTCTGTAGTATATACTTTGTTGGACTCCCCTGTCGTTACCATTTTTTCCCCACCCCTAAATAGTGATACCTGTTTTAATCCCTTCAACGACTCTGTAAGGTAGGTGATCTTTTCCCCATTTACAGATGAGGAAACTGAGGCTGAGGAAAGTCAAGTGACTCGCACAAGTTATCATGATTAGGAAATGCTGGAGCTGGGGTTGGAACTGAACTCCAAAGCCTGTGCTTGTGCTCTTGACTGAACAGGAAGGCAGAGGCTGTAGAGGGGAACAGCTTGGCTACAGGTACCCAGAAGGCAGAGCCATCTCTTGGGTACCATGAAATGGGACATTTACCTTGGGTGCTTCCTCTGGAGTGTGTTGCTGGGGCTTGTGCAGAGTCAGGGAGTCTGCTGGGGATTGGGAGGCATCTCCATGCAGCTAATACTTTAAAAAAAGATCAGAAATGTGTTGATGATGAAGGTGGGCAACATGCAATGATGTTCCTAGAGCCTTGCCACCCACACCTAAGAACCTCAAGTCAAGGCCCTTTGGGGATGAGTGACAGAACTCAACTCAACCAGCTTTAGCAAAAATGGAAAATTTTTGGCTCGTGTAATTAAAATATACAGGATAGACTTGCCTTCAGATACAGTTGGATCCAGGGGTTTAAAGGTTGAAGGTTTTGTATCTTTCTTTTGGCCCTGCTCTCCTCTATGTTGGCTTTGTTCTTAGGCAGGCATCTTGTGGTGGCATAGATGGCTGCCAGGAGCTCCAGGCTTTCTTCCTCCCAGTTCAGCAGAGGAGGAACAGAGCTTCGTTTCCAATGGCCTTAACATCAGCTAAAGCCCTGGGTTTGCTGCTCATTGGCCTGGCTCATCTCACATGTGCATCTCTAAGCCAATCAGGCAGTGGAGAATGGACTTCTCTGATTGCTGGGGATGGGCCAGGTGCTCATCCCTGGAGGTAGGGGAGAAGTCGGTCCTACTTGAAGCACATGGACCAAGAGTGAGGAAAGGATAGTTCCCCAAGAAAAACTCGGAGCAGCAGGTGTGGGTGATGGGCAGGTGCCAGACAACAGACATTCTCCTCATGAGAGGTGGAGGAGCTACCATCCAGCTATCTGCCTTTGCCACCAACTTGCATGTGACCTTAAGCAAGCCCCTTTCCCTTTATGATGATCTCTACAGACTAATCCAGCTCTGAACATCTGAGGCCATCAGACTTCATTTAGCTAATGGCCCGGCATTCTAGCTTAACAGACCCGAGCTGTGGCTTAGGAATGCATGGCCTTCAAAAACCCTGAGATTGAACTTGGGACCGGACACCCAGCCTCCTGTTCCTGCCTGTCCTTGCAGGGTACAGCCTGTGATGATGGGAGGGTAGGACTCTGAGGAGGTTTCTTTGCACATCCCCAGCGTTCTCCATCTATAATTGGCTCCAAATGAAATGATCTCATCCCTGAACACTGAGAAAGGGGGGCGGTGGGGAAACAGTTCCCTGGCAGCATCTGACATATTTTGTGACTAACCCGTTTTTCTGCAGGAGAGAGAGGGTCCATTCTCTTGAAGACAATGTGGACATTTCAAAAAAAAATGTCTTGGTAATAGATTAAGGAGGCTCCAGCTTTTTAGGCTTTTGGGAGGCTCGAGGCATTTCTCCACTCCGTCCAAACCAGGTATCTTCTGACTGTTGCTCACAAGTCAACTTCACCACCTGTCACTCACATTAACCTCTGGCCAGGAGGAGGTGAGCATGGCCAATTCATCAAGTGATTTATCTTGATGGAGTTTTGGGGCCAGCTGAAGCTTGTTTAAATGCCCATACATTAATTTTGAAAGATGAGCTCCTAATCAACTTTTAAAAAACTTGTCACAGCACCATCTGTTTGGCGTTTGTCACTATTGCATTACATAAGAGGAAAGACATTTTTAAAGAATGCGGCTGCATTTAGTAATTGGATCGCCGGAGAGGAGCCAAGCCGGGGCGGATGGCACCGTGATTCAGAAATGCCACAGGCCCTTCTCTGGGGTGCGGCAGCCTCCCCAAATTCCACACGGTTGTGGCGGAGACCTGAGTGCAGCCGAGCTTGGGAGACAGGCTCTGGTGGCTTCTTTTCCGCTCGCCTTTCTCTCCCTCTCTTATGTCACTCCCCGTTCCCATGAGTTCTCTCTCACCTCTGCCAGCTCAGATCAATTCTGTGAAGTATCAGCAATAACCAAATGATTTCACTTCCCTAAGCCCCAATATCCTTACCTGGAAAATGGGAATAATAATAGAGGGCTGCTATGAGGTTTAAAAATATTAGTACATACAGCGCCTGGCCCGTAGTGAGTGCTTGGTAAGTGTTAGCTCTTATATAAATCTATGTCTGATACATCGTAGGTGCCGAATCCATGTCCATTTTCCTTCCCTTTTCTTCCCTTTTATCTGATTCAACAAGTATTTAGAGGCAGGGCTGGCTTCACAGATGTGCAAACTGGCCAGTCACACCAGGCCCCATACTGAGAAGGGCCCACACTCAGAAGGGCCGTACTTGGTATAATGCTCTGTAGCTGTTGTCTTGAATTCTTAATACTTTTTGAACAAGCGGCCCTGCATTTTCATTTTGCACTGGGCCTTGCAAGTTATGTAGCTGGTCTCTCCTAGACATCTAGAGTGATGTTATGTTTTATTGGCTTGCTCGATGTTTAAACAATTGAATCCACATTTTAAAATCAGGCGAGTTCACCTAAAAATCTGGCATATTTTGGAAATATAGAACATCTTGCCATAGTCGGTTCACATTCGTGCTGCCAATGATGGGCCGGGGCTGGTTGGTGGTGCCCTCTACATAAGGCACAGGCTTCAGTCCAGCGCTCCTAAAGCCTTTGAACCGACTCCCTTTGCTCACTGACAGTGCATCAGGCATGGCGGTTGAGGTCATGGGCTTTGCAGCCAGCTTTGTTTTCACCTTTGCCAGTCAACAGCCATTTGACCCTGGGCAAGTAGCTCTTTGCCTTAGTTTTCCACCTGTAAAATGGAGATGATGATGATAATCGTAATCTCTCTTTTAGATATGACGATTAGGCTAGTTAATATATGTGAAGCGTCTCGGACACGCTGTGTTATTATTGCTAGTGTTTTACTCTCACCTGGTGCAGAGGCTCAGACCCCAAGTCTGAGGGCTGTCCCTCCAGGAGCTGGAAGCTGGACCTGCAGCAGCTCGCTGTGATGTCACTTCCTCCCGCCATCTGAAGCAACACCCCTTGTCCATCTCACTCTCCGCCTGCAGTGTTAGAGTTTGTAAGTGGTTCAACCTGGGTTCTAGGTGGGCATGTGATCCGGGTGGCCCAATCAGCATAGTCCATCCCTCTGGTTCTAGAGATTGGTTATAGAATGAGCATTTGACCCAAGTTGGTCCAATCAGAGTGAATCTTGGGATTTTTGCCACACTGTTGTGGGGGAAAAAGCTCTCTTTGAACCAAGATTTCTAGCTGTAATAATGATACAACCCTGGAGCTCCTAGTGAGGGTCCAATACATGGAGACAGAGAGAAAAAAAAACAGCCCTTATGACATCTTTACAACCCCTGGATCCAGCCATACCTGAAGACATTACTCTAAGACTTTTTTTTCTTTTTTAAAGATTTTTATTGGAGAATTGGGGGAGGGGAACAATGCTGGGGAGTCAGGGAAGGGGAACAGACAAGTTGCTGTCCTTTTGTTGTTCAGTCTAGTTGTGGAGGATGTTGCTTCACTGGCCCAAGTTGGCACCATCATTGCGCTCTTCCCGGGCAAGGCAGATCGGTCACTGGCTTCTGGGCGGCTGCTCACTGCGGCTGCTGGCCGCTCACTGCAGCAGGGGCTGCAGCCTACGCCGACACTGGCGACTCACAGCAGCCCAGCTCCAGGTTGAGCTGTTGTTCAGCATCTTAGCATCTTAGCTGTAGAGGGCAGTGTCACTGGCCCTCATATGTGGGATCCGAACTGGGGCCCTCTGGCGTCCCAAGCCAGCTCTTAAC